ACACTAAATTTTAGCTAAGATCTGATTAGAAAGAAAATAGTGAAAGACTCATGAAAGCATGCGAAAAAAACCTATTTATTAAATTATACAGAGTTATGTTGACACTATAACTGCAAAGCAAATGTAAAATATTCTGTACATAAAATAACTTCTTGAATATTTCCAAACATTTTGTGAAATTAATATCCTTTTTTATATTTTCCAAATGCATGTTTTAAACTTGCTGGCTTATTGTTAGAGACGTTAATTTTCATGAAGAGCCCATAAAGATATCTAATTCTGCTTTTATTACTCTAGTTTTAATTAATTATATCTTCTTAATAGGTGAGTGGACAAAGTCTTGTGCTCTGAAATAGGATAACACAGGATATTGTGCTTCCTGGTTCATAATCTACAGAAAGTTCTACACTTTGTATATTAGTATATGACTAGTCTTGTTCTTTCCCAGAAACCCAAATTAAATGCATAAATTCAGGCTCTGCTAGAAATCAACAGTCAAAAAATGCATTATCTAAATGTATTGTTTTCAACATATAAAACATGTAGTCCTGTGTACAGAGAAACTGGATGATTGGGTCAAAGAAGAAATCAAGAATTGAAAATTTCAGGAATTCTTCTTATTTACCAGATAGCTCTACATATTCTTTCCTATAGAGGTTATTTAATTTTTTGAAAACATTCATTGAGTATGTCTAAATTTCGTTTGAAGTTATTCAGCTGCACTTTATCGAAGGCAATTTATATAGTTTGGGTAACTAATTGTTGAAGTAATTTGGAATCATACATAAAGAAGAGATGATTAAGAACCTTGCCAAAGTAATTATTTCACATGCTATTTAATCATAGTATCTCCAATTGAACTTTCAGAGTATGCTGTTGACAGGATAGAGGAGATGGATTATGGAAGATTAAAAAAAAAAGAAAACAAGGGATAATTAGAAAAATTTAATGTATGGATGTAGAAGAGATATTATTAAAAGATATGGTCAAGAAAAACTGTGCCAGAATGACTGTATTTGTAGGCAAAGGAGCTGGGAAGTTAAGGTAGGATGGGTTAGTGGCTGAGGGGTTGATATGATCTCCACAGGCAGATTTCTATTTTGCCAGAACTGGCTGCAAACTGTGTTTACACCATAAAGTACTACATTCTGATATCAGTCCAAACCACCCCTCTACCCCATGGACCTAAATTCTCTAAGTTTCTGTATTCTCTAAGTTTCAGTTTGCCCTTCAGAAAATGTAAAAAAGTATCACTTTATATTTTACTAATTATAAAATAAAAAAATAAGTGTGAGCAATGTCTTTCTTGTAATAAAAAGTTTATTGAGCCATTACTTTTGCAAAACTTGCCATGGTGTCTAAATTTCTACTGTTAAAAAAATTATCTGTTAAAATGCTAGTAGCTCTAAGACAAGTAACATAATAATTGATTACCATCCAATTATAGCTATGTTTGAATTAATACAATCAATCACTTTCATTATGATATTAAAGACAGACCCTTTAGTACTTTTGGAGTTAGTGCTGGAAATTAGAAATGGAGGGGAGGGGTACAGGAAGACAGGAATGAGATGAAATTGGGAAAGAACAAAGATTTTTTTATTGAGAGGGTAAACATAGACACTGGGGAAATGTAACCATTAGGTTGGGAGGAGAAAGGGAAGAGGAGTAAAGTGGAAAATAGAAATGCATTAAAGATAAAATTTGTCCTTGCTCTAATTTTAATCTAAGATGAAGCTATACCAACTATGCCTCATAAACTTTGTGTAAGGGTAAAGTTTATTGAGTACTATTATGGAAACTTGAGTCTCTTCAATCTTACTACTCTTATTATGCTTAAAAACCTTACTCATTTATATTCATATTTTTCACAAATAACTTCTCAAAAAAATGTATTCTAATCCACATTTAAAGAAAAAATTGAATTTGATATTGTTTTTGAAAGTAGTGATTTAAGCCGGGTTCGGTGGCTCAGCCTGTAATCCCACACCTTTGGGAGGCTGAGGTGAGTGGATTGCCTGAGCCCGCGGGTTCGAGACCCGCCTGGGCAGGCGAGATCTCATCTCTACAATAAATCAAAAAATTAGCCGGGCGTGGTAGCGCGCGCCTGTAATTCCGGCAACTCGGAAGGCTGAGGTGGAAGGATCGCCGGAGCCCAGCAGGTCAAGGCTGCAGTGGCCGGGAGTGGCCACTGCACTCCAGTCTGGGCGACAGAGTGAGACTCCAACTCAAAAAAAAAAATAGTGGTTTATATGTTAAATTGCATTATACTTACACAGCATATTTCTATCTGAAAATCTAAAATGCCATTATTTGCACTCTACCTAGATACATTGTTACTTAAGGGGGTATTTTCATTTTCCAATGAATGGTGCCACTACTGGAGTGACAAAACATATAAAAAATATATAATACATACTCTAACAACTAGCATTTTAGTGTTCACTATGGGATTGTATCAGAGTTCCTTATAAACTGTTACTATTTACATGTATTTTGCACCATAAATTCTTCAGGCTCCCAACTGGACTGAGGACTTCTTTTTCCAGTAAGTTCATGAATTAGGTTAAGACCTATGTCCCCTTAGAGAAATGCTCTCTTGTACACATGGTTTCCAGATGGGCAAATGAGAATGATTAAGAGACCTGGCTTGAGTCACATCATACTGTCAGAATCACTGAGAGACCAATGAGACTTTCAGAGCTATCTTAGGGTAGAAGTGTGAAGTCTCCATAGAAAATATCCAAACACAGTAGACACATAGCTACTCTCTGCCAGTATAATTCCCAGGACAAATAGTTGTCCTGTGAAGAGAATATTAATTTTAAATTTAAAAAATTGAATGATAACTAAAATTAATTAACAAAGTATGCTATTCAAAATCAAATTTATTTTTATTGCCCCTCAAAACTTAGATATTTAGAAGTAGTGATATTATAATTTGGAAATTTGTGGATCAGTGAGACAATATTGAAAATGAATCCAACTGCTATTAAGAAATAACTATTTAAACACTATCTACTAAAATAAAATTAATTTGGATAGTGCAATACATGTTCAGTCAGCATAAAAGCATACAAGTCACACTAAATTATGGGGACAATCATAAATATCAGTAAATAAATCTTAGAAAATTTAGTTTAAAATTGTGTTTCATTTTTAACGTATTCAAAGTAGAAACAATTACTCTTTTATATTTATGGAAAACTTTTTTTGAAAGAGTTATTTTAAGTGACTTTCAGAATCATTTCTTTTTTTTTTTTTTTTTTTGAGTTGGAGTCTCACTCTGTTGCCCAGACTGCAGTGGGGTGGCCGCTCCCGGCCACCGCAGCCTTGACCTGCTGGGCTCCAGCGATCCTTCCGCCTCAGCCTTCCATGTAGCTGGAACTACAGGCG